TAAGGGAAAATTCATCCCCTCTAATTTTTTTTATGTAAATAGATAGAAGATATGGAAACAACAGAAAATAACACATTAAAATAAACAAGTAATCTATTAAAGATGAAACACAATAAAATAACACGCACAATCTAAGGGCAACTAAAATTCGTGGACTTAAAATGAAGTGGACACCTATCGTCGTCCCAAAAACAATTTTAGCGGCAGCTAAAATCCCTGGACAACAGAGAAATAGGCAAGCATCGTCTGGTCCTTCTTGTCTCCTGAGTCTACTCTGTTATTATAAACTGGAGTAACATGATGCAAACGGCGCTCCATCATCCGTTAAAGTCCTACATTACCCTTCGAAAAACTCATCTTTATTGGGGTCCAATAATATCCTATTAATATTTCTCCAACACGTGCTTTTGATGTATGTAAAGAATAAAATTATAATTTTTAAATATTAATTAATATTAAAAAATATCAAAATTAATAATAATTTTATTATTAATTTTGTATAAATTATTTATAATATTTTTATATTTTTTTAATATAAATTAATATTAAAAAATAATAATTATATCCTTCCCATGCGTTGCACACGGATAAGAAAAACTCTATTCTATTATTAATCCCTGGTCGGTCCCGCCCTCATCCATTAGTAATTCATTAATCCTCCGGACTCACGCTCGCCCCTATAAAAGGCGGCCACCAAGCAATGAATTCCACACCCCTTCCCTTCTACTTCTAGCACCTTAAAAACATGGAAACTCAACATGGTAATTCCTATTTCCTTCCATACATCAATATACATATTACTCAAGTATTTTCTTTTCTTTTTTTTTTTTTGTCCAACACCGACTATATTCAAGTTATGTGGTGGTAGACACGGCGAATTTTGCCGAGGAAGTAACACAGTACCTTTTTTTCTTTTTCTTTTTCTTTTTTTGCAGTTCACAAGATCTTCAGTGCGGCATGACGTCCTTGCTGTTGGTGGCATTCATGGCCACAATTTCAGTTGCTTCACTGGACAGTCGGACATACATTGTTCGCATGGACGAGTCCAAGATGAAAACCTCCTATCCTTCTGCTGCTAATTCCAAAGGAATGTTTGGAGAAATGCTTGATTCAATTTCCCAACTCTCCACTGATTCAGAAGCAACATCACCTCCCCGCCTACTTTATGCATATGACACTGCAATCTTTGGTTTTGCTGCCAAGCTTTCCCCTATGCACCTAGAATCAATAAGAAACTGTTACAATATAATGCTGAAATGAGTTTTTGCTTTGGTGTCAATTTCTTTGCTTAGCTGTCAATTTCTGGTTTACGTGTCTTCAAGATAAATTGCAGGATTAGTTGATTATTTGACAGAGTCCAAGTTTGTTATTTAGTCTTTACTTAGTGGAGTATGGTTCCTTATTTTTAGAGATAAGATTAGTTTCCTTTTTTCAGATCATGTAGTCATCGTGTCCTTGTATTGTGCAATCTGTTGCTCTACATTTTCTATTTAAATGGGCACAGATCAGTTGAATAAATTCTCAATTCA